TATTCCAAATTGGAATGCCGCCAATTTCAATGTCATTGGGTCAATGACTTCTCTTGTAAAGGCTATTTCACAAGGGGTTTAAGGATTTTTATGGAATATATAATAATATTTGAAGGAAATATAATAGGCCAAGAGCAGTACAAAAAAGAACAGTGTTGGCATCAGTGACTCTCATCCCCGAAGTCGTAGCTTCGAACCCCGACTGTACACCAATGGACCTTCTATGTGGGCAATTAACATTCCCTCGAACGTTGACGGAAAACATCGCGAGAAAACCGGCTTGCCTTGTACCCAAAAAGTCGACGGCGTGGGTCTGGCACAGGAGACTGATGAGCTCGCCTATTAGTTTGACAAATGATCATGTTGTAGTGGTATTGATTGATTGTGCTAAATGCGCACAGACAGACACAGCTGGGATCCCACCCTCTTGAATTTTTCAACGTACCAGAAAAAAAAACTAATTATCGAGAGATTCAAATGATTGAGAAGTCAAGTAAAGTAAAGCACTTATTTTCCCAGCTGCACAATTTATGTCCTTATCTGCCTCTAATGCGATGCCCTAGATGTCCTGTTTATTTCCATTTAACAAGTTTCCAATGCGTTTTTTTATTACACTTTATCTGTTCTAGTCTATTAAAATTAATTTTCAATCTGTGGTTTATAAGAGATCTATATATTCTGTGGCGCGTCCCGCGTTTAAATTGTAGAATTTAGTGCTGTTGACCTTGGAATGACGCGTTCCGTCCGCACGTGGATAGATATGAATTTCATTGTATGCATGACAACCGCGTAGATAATATGTTTACTAAAAGGTTTCCTGAACAATAAATATGATTTTTTTTCCGAAGTCTCTATTGTTGTATATTGTTGGTAGAGTGAATTCATAGTAGCAATACATAGAGTATGTTTTTATTTTTTTACATAATCGTATTAGCATAGTATGTAAGGATAATGTTTTTATTTCTGTAATAAATAATTAAATAGTTATGTGTAGAAAGCAAGTATTGGATTATTATAAGTTTTTAATCAAATTATAATCGATTAATAAAAAAATTAAAATGCGTAAGTGTCATGTCAGAAGTGAAACTTCTTTGGCAAACTAATTTTTAAGTCTTAAATCTTAATCATATTCATTATTTATACAAATCTAAAAATTTCTGTGACTTAGAGCGAGGAGAAAAGGAAGATATGTTAAGAATTTCATTAATTTAATTGTCATTGAAATATCACAAGTGTCGAAAATTAATACAAATAATATTTTTTTTTTAAATTTGATTCTTCGATAATAAAAACACGGGTCAATTTAATTTGCACGCTGCACATCTTCGTGACGTATCCGTAAAAATTTTACCCCCATGCGCCTATAGATGTTTCACTTCAATAAAGCTATTTGGATAGTGTTGGGACTGCCACGCTTTTGTAGCCTCGGGCAAATTTGCCCTGATGACTTCTGGGTGATTACAGATTGCGTGGCAATAGGAACAGTATCTTTAGTACAATGGATGACTGTACTCAGTCGCATATTGTTAGCATGCTCAAGGACCCTAAGCCAAATTGGTTCGGAAATACTTCAGTGGGCAGCTGGTTCTACATAGCGGCAAAAACTGCCTTAGAAACGCTCAGTTGTGGAACGACGGACGTCAAGGTGAGGTGGAATTTCGTATTCTCTATGTCCGATGAGTTTAATTCAGATACAAGTATTAATCCGGATAACTCCTCAGAACACTCTTTATTATAAATGCAGTAGAAGATCCAGAGACCCTACATCTCTACGCAACGCCAGTATTCCGTTGCTACGATCCCCTTATGCCGTATGTTGAATAGGAATGTTGCTATGTCTTCCGCGTGATTCTTATCATATAGATAAGCGTTGTTACACGTTTGACCAACTGACCTTTGCCCTTCGCTTATTGTTATTCACGTGTCTTAACTATCCATTGGCAGTTTACGCAATGTACGAACACAAAGTATTTCGTAAACGAAGAATGTCATTTATGTATTGGAATGAGAATTCAAATTCGACATATTCAAATAGATAAAAAATCAACATTTAGGTAAGATTTTATAATTCTTAGAATTAAAATTGTTTTTGAAGTGAAACTTCTTTAGGCGCATGAGGGTAAAATTTTTACGGATGAAACGCAATAATAACGCGAGAGGTGGGAGAGAGCTATAGTGAGAAAGATTGAGAGAGATAGTAAGGGATACCGAGAAAAAATATACGCTATTGGTTGATGTATTCGTTTAGTAGTTACATATTAGAACATTAGATGGCAATTCTGTCGCAATAACGTCTTGTGCAGTAAACACCAATTTTTTTTAAAAATATTATCATTAGCATGTAAACAGTGTGATATACAAATACATGGAGTGATCATATACTGGTACATGATCATCTATTGGGGCTTTTACCTTAATAATAATTAATGTACAAAGAAGATTCACTTCTGACATGTGTACTTTGTACGCACTCACTTTTTTCCCTAAATACTTCTCGATACAAAAGTCAGTGACGGCGCAAGTGTTCCATTTACTGTATTGTGAATGGAACACTCGCGTCGTCACTGTACTGCGTACTTCCTGTTTCGATAGGCCTGAGTGTGTGCAATGGAAGCCACAAGAAGATGGCCTGGTGGCGAAAGACTTCCACATAATTGAATAATAGATTTATAGAAATAGCAGTATATAGACCGTGTGGTGGATTAAAATTCTAAGCTGGAAGAAAATTGGATGGTGGATTAAAGTAAAGCAGTGCTGGCAGTGGCGTAACAATAGGGTGGCAGAGCTGGCAAAATGCCACGGGTCCCTGCACAAGAGATATTATGTTCTATGGATGAATGTGAAGTCTCCAAATAGCTTTATCGAAGTGAAACTTCTTTAGGCGCATGAGGGTAAATGGGATACGCATTGGGCTAGCGTGGGGACTACAAAACATTCCCTCTCGCCTAAGAGAGGAGGTCTATGGCCATTACTGGGACAAATACAACGTATAATTCAGTACGCTGAAAATCTCGAAGTTTATTAAAATGAAACTGAGTACAACGTGACGATATTTACTGATAGGGCCCCATCAAAAGCAATCACCACTACGGGTGTAACAGTAGGGTGCGACCCATGACGTCGTTCGAATCACTGCTGTGCATCAATTGAATCTTCTATCTATCTGCGCCATTAGCAGTTTCCCCTACATAGCAAACATCGTGAAAAAAACGGCATGTCAACCACAAAAATCGGTGTCACGATAACTCGTGTCTGACGACAGAAAACTGCCTACTTGTTTATGAAATACATATTGAGAAACGGATGTTATCTGAAGACCCATTTAGGGTGGAAGCGCTGCTGTATTATCCAGTGCAATTCTTTAAATACATTGTGGTGCAGGAACCCATGTTGGACATCTCGATGGATAGGCAATATTCTTTAAATGTTTTAAAAAGTTTTGGATACTTTTTTATGTTGATATTAAATAAAAGTGTACAGAAAAAATAAAAACCTAATTTCCTTTCTCTGTATACATTATTTGCGCGGACTGTGTGAAGATATGGGTTACTTGTATGCGTTGAATGTTCGACATTGCTTCTCAGGGCAGAGTCTAAAAAGTTTTCTTTGAGAATATATCAAACTTCTACATAGATTGATAGTATTATGTATGTATACTTAAGGCTCTAAAGTGAATTAGAACAATTTGTGGAGCAAACTATATAGTATATTTTTAAAGTATATTTTAGAATTAATCCCTCTTTGTTCACAAAATCATAAATATATTTAAGTCAACTAGAATGGATCACTGTCGAAGTAGACATGGGAAGAAATTGGCTGTGCCAAAAATTAATCTGGATTTAAGGAAAAACACATTTGTATGGATCTTTGAATGTTTACCAAAAACATTCAAAGATCTTCCTACTAGAGTTATTAAATAGTTTGGAAAATCCAAAAGTGCACGCCACATAGCGGTCATTCACATTTAAAAAAAAAATCTAAAACAAAAACTCAAGTTTATTAAAACAAAATAACAAATTAATCTTTAAGTCTCACGCTACGAAGAAAATTTAAACATACATATTTAGTGGCGCCATAACTCTAAGGTGAGGAACAGTCGTATTTTAGTTTTTTACAAATTATAATTAAACGACAGTACTTAGAACGCTAATAATATATTTCAATAATGTGATGATGCCGTGATAAATATTATAACAATTGACTATAATTTTATGACTCATAATGTTATTGTAACTTCTATTCTACCTTTTAAGACAAATTAGCACGCCATTACGTGTGTCAGACTATGCGTAACTTTAGATTGTACCAATGCAAATCAATGATTATAATTATAAACTTGGTACTGTCAAAATACAGTCAAACCTGGATAAACAAGAGTTCAAGGGTGCACAATCTCATTCTCGCTTATAGAGGTTTCTCACTAACCCGAGTTTCTCGCTAATGTACCTGCATTAGCGAGAATGGGCGTACTCTTTCTTTCTCTCTTACCGAGGTACGCAGCTATAATATGTCACAGCAAGTACGAATGTAGTATATAATATGTAATATGATAAAATTATGTGCACTTATATATATTATGTACATATATATTTTATTTTATTTTTAATTTGTTTTGTCATTTATTATTGTATGTGTGTATATTTATTGTAGCTATAGTTCCTCCTAAATAATATTAATAAATAAAGCTCGACTGTAGCGTATAGAGGTATAGATAAGTAGCAGTCTCACTTACGGAGGCTCATGAGGGAAAAACTACTCTCCCTTACAGAGGTTTCTGTTTCTCGCTAATAGAGGTTTTGGGAGCTTAAAATGACGGGTCCCGGCTATTACTCTCACTTAAAGAGTTTTCTCACTTATCCAGTTCTCACTTACCCAGGTTTGACTGTATATCAAATTCGCTCCCGTGCTGTGGTAACTTTTTACGTAATAAAGTTAAAATAAATTCATAAGTATAAAATCCCATTACATTATCACTTGCAATACAATCTTATTATTGCACAATGTGGTTACGGTCAGTGCCAAGGTTAGAAGCCGTATACTTGACGCATGCATGAGCTTGATGGTATTATGTAAGGGTTACATAAATTAAGGACAGGAATTATCCCCTGGACAGCTAAGGAAACAAACGTGTCTACACTAAAACAGTTACAGGTAAAATTCGGCACTTTGTTACCAACCCATCCTGAACACGCAGAAATCCAGAAAGTTTAGAAAAAGTCGTGACTGGTATGGAGGGCACCAGGCACGATCAAGTAAAGTCCCTTGGCTAATCTTCATTGGTTCACAGCTATTACTGCCTTCAAAACGCAGGGTTGAGAGAAATAATAATAAAGCCTATTCATTTTAATAATAAATGTTAATAAGTTGTTATATGTATAACTGAATGAAACTCGTGTTGTCGAAATATGTATTTGAAGAGACAACATTTAAGCCGAACGTCCAGGTCAACTAAGTAGTTTAGCTTAGCTCGCAAGTGCAGCTAAGCTACGTAAATCGGCCCAGCTAGTGGAACTATTGTGTGCGACGGAAGCCGAACGTCCACCGCCGGCTAAGCTAAATGAAAACTAAACTCAGTGAACTAAGCTAAGCTAAACTAGAACTACGTTGTCCGTCCACAATAATAAGCTAAAACTACGTTCAGTGATGGGCCAATTTGTGCTAAATCGTCGAGTTAGAAGACGACACGAGCAATGACGAGACTTTAGAGGTAAGAGAGGAGGAGGACGTCTATAGGAGAAGAACATTGATTATTGCTTATTTTATGAAGAAAAAACGGAAACATAGATACTGGATAAGTCAACACATTCAGTCCTGGAAAACAAGTAGCGAATTTAACACTTTGTTTAATGAACTAGACGACGAAAACTTTAAGATGGTACTATCGTGTATCTTCAATAGTTTGATGAGTTACTGACTACTGTCACAACACTGTCGACAGGCGTCAGAGGGGTAAGGCAAGGGGGTGAGAGGCGCTTAGTTTAGCTGGCATAGTTTGCGGTGGACGCACATGTATGAAAATCTGGCTCAACTATGCGAGCTAAGCTAAACTAACTTAGTTTAGCCGGCGGTGGACGTTCGGCTTTAGAGTTTGTTACTTTACTTTTATCGTATTTCTTTTATAATTTAGAAACAGCGTTTCCTTACGTGAGCCCACGCCCCACAGGGGGCAAAATGATTGTTAAGGCTATTCGAAAATTTCCTATAATTATTTGGAATTACAATTTCAGTTTCTTTATTATGTTTTGAAAAATTACTTTGTATGTCTTATAATCCTATCATCTAACAAGAGAGTGAGTAAGAGTATCTTAAATTATATTTTTTTTTGAAATTTGAACATACGTTATTTTTAGGAGGGGGGGAAAAAGAATTTTAGAAAGGCTAAGATGGGGCCTGGCACAAAAATATTGGCAAACAAACACTAATCTAAAATGTTCTTATAAATTAAACGACCGGCCAAAACTACATTTCCTCAGTAACAAATTAAATAAAACACCAATTAACACATAATAGATAATCAATATTCTAAAGAATCTAATCTAAATAATCATGTTTAATAAATATTCTTTACATTATGTTAGGGTTAAATCTGTCTTTTATCGGTGCAGCTTGCTATTTGACCCGCCCAATTTGAATTACAATTATTTAGCGCAAAATTACAATTCAATATTCAAATAGAATTTGTATAAGGTCCTTCTCACTCTCTCTCAATCGGTCTCAATCGCTCTCTCCCTTACAGAAATTATATTTTTAAAATTAAAACTTCGCAAAGAGAATTGATTAAATATTAGTATTTTATATTTTATGCAAAATAATTTGTTGTAATCTCAAACGCCGAATTGTAAATTAAAATGCCACGTGTTTTTATTATCGAAGAAATAAATTTTAAAAATAAAATTTATAATTTGTATTAATTTTCGACACTTAATATTATGATGTTAAATTAATTAAATTCCTTGCATATCTTCCTTTTTCCTCCCTTTAAGTCTCGGAAATTAGATTTGTATAAATATGAACAAGACTTAAAAATTATTTTTCCAAAGAAGTTTCACTTCTGACATATTGTGTACTTTGTACGCACGCACTTTTTTATATCTGGGGACACGGCAGAGCGCCAAGTGGAGCCAAAAGCGGCACGGCCGTACCATCCCTTTCTGGAAGCAGTTCCCTATATCTTGGTTGTTGGAAAATTAGAAGCCTAAACTTTACCAAGCAGGGATTGTATAAACACGGTATATTTCAAATTTCGATTGAACCAGTAGTTTAAGAATAACCAGTCAAATTTCTTAATTCTGTCCCTTACTCTCATCATTAAAACTCTAAGGCACTTCTAGCAGAGAGTGAAGCTCCAAATTTAGATAGAAGTGAGATTGCCAAGTCAATTAATTTCTTATGGTTAGTACAAGATGTCGTTAAGGTAGCTAATTACGTGATAATTGAAGAAGGGAAAGTCCCTTAGTAGGGACTGAAAAAATTGACCAACTTGGTATTACACTAAAAGAACTGCGTTACAACAAGTTAAGTTTTTGATGGCTTATATTCTTTCAACAGCAGTGTTGACCTAGTGGCTTCAGCGTGCGACTCTCATCCCTGAGGTCGTAGATTCGATCCCCAGCTGTGCACCAATGGACTTTCTTTCTATGTGTGCATTTAACATTCGGTGAAGGTAAACATCGTGAGGAAACCGGCTTGCCTTAGACCCAAAAAGTCACCGGCATACGTCAGGCACTGACTGATCACCTACTTGCCTATTAGATTGACAAATGATCATGAAACAGATACAGAAATCTGAGGCCCGGACCTAGAAAGGTTGTAGACCGCCAATTTACATTCAGATTTTTTCTGTTTTGTGATATCTATTATAGAGACACAATAAAATGTCCGCAAGGGTCTCGAATCAAAGTCATGGTTGGCCTATCAGTGTCGGCGGCTCATCGTACACAATTGGAGATGATTACATGACTATTTGCGGCGAGGAAGTATTGTATATATATAACTGGCATATATATATACTGCTCAAAACAACTAGCGGAACAAGATTTTTCTCCTTTCTATTGCTTAAACTAAAATTAGATTTAAATTAACTTGTACGCTATTTTTTACCTTGTTAATTTGTTAATTACTACAATTAATAAAAAAATTCAATTTGTATTTTTATTATTAAAAAAAATTAAAATGTGCATTGTAGACGAAAAACTAATTGGTGATAAAAAAGGTCCATCAAAGAAATATTCTTATATCGTTTGAATATTCGTCTTTAGTGACTTTCAGTAACGTGTGTGGCCTCCATGAGCCCTAATCACGGCTTGACAACGACGCGGCATGCTTCGTATGATCCTCCGAATATCTTCTTGTGGAATTCGCTCCCATTCTTCAATCAACGCTTCAGTGAGCTGCTGCAGTGTTTGAGGTGCAATCGGACGCTTCCGGATGCGCCTGTCAAGCAAGTCCCAAATGTGTTCAATTGGATTTAGGTCAGGGCTCATGGAAGGCCACTCCATTACACGGATTTCCTGCTGTCGTAAGTAATCTGACGTGATGGCTGCAGTATGCGGCCTGGCATTATCTTGCATTAAAAGAAAATCTGGGCCCATACCATATGCTGCGGGCCAAACATGATCTTCGAGCACATTTTCAATGTAAGTTTGAGCACACAAGCGCCCGGGAACAACGACGAGATCTGTGCGCTCGTCCAAACTAACTCCGCCCCAAACCATCACAGAGCCACATCCAAATTTGTCATATTCCTGGACTGCTGCTGCACTGTATCGCTCGCCTGGGCGTCTGTAAACACGGAGATGACCATCGCAACGTGTTAGACGGAATCGTGATTCGTCAGTAAAAAGCACTGGCCTCCAATGTCGAAGTTGCCAATTAGCGTGATTTTGCGCGAACTGTCGGCGAGCTTGTCTATGTTGAATTGTTAGACGCACAGCCCGAACTGGTCGGCGTGATCTCAAATTGGCTTCCAACAACCTATTTCTTACCATCTGGTCGGAAATTTCTACACCAGTAGCCGTCCATAGTGTATTTTGTAGATCTCTTGCAGTTGTGGTGCGGTTACGTAAAGCACAGTTGACGATGTAGCGATCTTGCAAACGTGTAGTTTTTCTCTTTCGACCTTGACCACGCCTTCGTGAGTATTCTCCCGTCTCACGGTATCGCTTCCAAAGTCTGTAGATAACAGAAGGGGCTACTCCTAGATCATTTCCTACATAACGCATAGTTCGACCCACTTCAAGCAAAGCGATAGCTCGGGAGACATGCAATTCAGTCAGATCTGGCATTATGACCTAAACTCACTCGCTTCAATGAATAACAATACTCAAAAGGCTCACTTCAATTTCTATTAATACTCAAAAGATTGAAAAAAACTACTTAAAATGTGTTTTCTGTGATTAGAAAGTAATGAAAATTCAAAGACGTCACTTTGTTTTTCGTCTACAATGCACATTTTAATTTTTTTTTTATAAAAAAAATACAAATTGATTTTTTTTATTAATTGTAGTAATTAACAAGGTAAAAAATAGCGTACAAGTTAATTTAAATCTAATTTTAGTTTAAGCAATAGAAAGGAGAAAAATCTTGTTCCGCTAATTGTTTTGAGCAGTATATTTAAACTCAAACAGGGACCCGCGTTGTTAAAAATACAGCGGTATACGATAAATATGGCGAAGTGAAAATTAGTAATGAATTATTATTAGAATAATAATTATTAAAATAATTATTATGAAAGTACGCATTTTATCCAAACAAGAATTAAAGGAATTGTCGAGAGCAAATTGTGCTGTAAATGCAGAAAGATTATCTGCTATTATAAAATAAATCAGTGGCGCAACAATCTTTTTAGTTCTGGGTCTCAGATTTCTGTATCTGTTTCATGATCATTTGTCAATCTAATTGGCAAGGTGATCAGCCTCCTCCTCAACACTCTCCGAGGACTGTTTGGGTCTAAGGCAAGCCGGTTTCCTCACGATGTTATCCTTCACCGAGCGAATGTTAAATGCGCACATAGAACGTCAATTGGTGCACAGCCGGTGCTCGTACCCACAACCGCAGGGATTAGAGTACCACACTGAAGCCACTAGGCCAACACTGCTCTTCGTTATTGTGGAGGGAATAATATACTTCCATCTTAATATAGTAATGTACCGAAAATCAGCACTTACGAAAATGATGATGACCCTGAAACACCGATATCCAACCAAGGATATATACAACTTCTTGGCCTTAGCCACTGGGGGGTGTTTTCCCCCGTGGGGCCACCACGAGTCGGGGACTCGCTGGAGACGCTGTTGCGCTAGTCGCGGGAAAAGCCTATTCCGGCCGAGCTAAGCTCGCCAAAACAACCCTAGCCTCTCTTTAGGTTGGACTGTTCCTCCAGGAACAGTACACCATCCATAAATAGATAACTAAAATATATATAAAGATTGGTCCTTGTGGTACACCATAGGATAACTCACAAAACTTCAGTAAATAAAACTAAAAAAGTACTTAAAATGCGACCACAAATATATATTTTTTGTCCATTACAGTCGTTGGTGCGTCTCTTCGTTCTGGAGCACGGCTTCGGTCCTCATCCATCGCCTACTGACTGCGCCGTTGCCGCCTATCACAGGTGAATAATAAAAAAATGTATAAATGTTTTAAGAACGTGTAAAACCCGGCATTATATAATTCGATTGCTTTTGGGTAATCGCGGTCAGCTATGCGCTTGCGATGACATATCTTACATATAAAAGTGAAAGTTTATATGAATTGATGTATATGCGAAAAGTAATGAATGGATTTTGTTGAAACTTTACATAATGTGGGTCACATAAGCTATAATTTACAGAGACGTCAGAAAACATATAATATATATAGATGTTTCTCTCAAATATACTCTCTCATCTTAACCTACATTGTAATAATAATAATTAAAAATGAATAAATAGAAGATTAAAACAAATTTAAAATGTTTGGTCCTTGTGGTACACCATAGGATAGGAAAAATAACAAAATCTCAGTAAATAACACTAAAAAAGTAAAGCTGGCAGCAATTCCTCGCTGCGATGCTATACGTTGAACGAGGAAAGCACCAGCTCTGGGGTCACCGGTACTATCTACCAGGCGCCAACATAAAACTTCATCTCTTTTATTTCTACCACATGGTCACTCTATCGTACGAATGGCCTAAGCAATTATTAAATGTTGTTACAAACGCTACGGTTGAATATCTTTCAGGCCGCTAGTTAAACGGCGCTGCAGCTGTTTAGTCAAGAGGCTAGGCTGTTTATTGAACGGCTTATTAAGCTAGTTAGCTGCGACATATACATAGAACACTAAACTGTGACAGACTACATAATTTTTTTACTGTATTGTTTATTTGAAAAAAGCACCAGCTCTTGTCATCAGTACTGTCTACCAGTGACCTTAAGACTCTTCTTCAGGTCTCACTTCTACTCCAAATAGAATAAAGTCATAGTTGGAGGAAAGGCTTCTGCGTTTTTGTTTTCTTTTGCGTCGCAAACAGTTCGTGTATATTAAGTAATATTAACCTCTCGTTAGGATTCTTAAATCTAAATTATATTATTATATTTTTTAATTCCAGCAGCAAAACCCGCAAAGACCCGCCCAGCAAGCTCAGACCATTTGCATCCGGTGCCTTTGGTGGACTGTGTCGTCCTGCATAATCCACCGAGCCACACGATTGACGTGATCTTCGTTCATGGATTATATGGTAGGTTGTCTCTGGTGTACCAGAAAAACATCCTTCAGATTTCTGTATCTGTTTCATCATTTTCTTTGTCTGGTCTGTGGGTCTAAGGCCAATTTTCTCCTGTTTCCTTCACCGTAATTAATTGCGCATAGATTTAGTGCGCAGCCGTGATTCGAAAGCATGACCTCAGGGTTGAGAGGTGCTAAACTTAGAGAAGCAACACAGCTCTACGCATTAAAAAAACCTTTAACAATAACCGCGAACTAATACATTCTCATAATGACGATTCGAGTGCTTTTCAGCAATCGGAAGATTCTAGTAAATAGTTAGAGATATTTTAAATTTACCGGTTTTAAACTTGCCTACTACATTTTAATATAATAAAGAATATAAGCCCAGAATTCCACTGGGCTATTCTAAATAGGGACCTTTTTGACCCATCTGCCATTACAAACGCGGCCAGTGTGACCGGCCCATTTTCACTTTAATTTTTGAGTGTGTTACCACGTTTTTTCAAAGGAAGGATAGAACGCTCCCAATATTCTTGATTTATAACTACACTATTACTACAATTAGTAGACGTAAATTTTACAAGTCGTTTCCGAGCCGCTAAGCTATACAAATATCTATATATAAATATTGTCGTAGAAGCATCCTTTATCATGTTAAACAATGGATGTTATCAAACGGTCGGTCAATGTAGGTCGGGCTACACACATACAAAATAGTTGACAATATTTCAAGTTAGCAGAATATATGATGTAATCATACATTTTTGTATAGAAAGCTTATAAGACTTGGGTTTTTGGATCTTACGTTTTTCTGGATCTACAGAATGGATTTTGAAAATTCTTTTACCAATACAAAGCTACTTTGTGAGTGTGTATATTAACACAAATGAAAAGACTCTCGTGGTAGTCGGATTTGCAGAGAGAAACGGTCGAACTAAAAGGTTTCTAACGTAAAAAGCAACGTACTTGCTTCTAGTTCGTATGTTTTTGAAATTATAAATGTTGGCAGCCATTTGCTATATTCCATGTGAAGTCATTAAATTTTCAGGCTCACAAGTATTTACAATATTCTACACTTCAATAATAATAATAATCAAAAATGGACAGACAACTAAAACAAATTTATAAAGTTTGTCCCTGTAGCAGTGTTTTTAATGCTAGCATTTCCCTGTTAAGCAAGCACCAGCTCTAGGGTCACCGGTACTACCTACCAGCCAACTGAAATCTTTAATTAGTAGCACTTGAACCTTGGCCCAAGAGTCTCTACTCCAAAAGAAACAAAATCAAAGCTGGAGGAAAGACTTATATTTTTGCCGTTTAGTTCGCCTGTTCTGCCAGTTTCTGTGCTTGTCCGAGGGAGGTGAGACGGGGCTAACGTGTCCACACAAGTAGCCATACTAAAGGTCATCTCATCCTCCAAGGAATCAAGAACATTGCATCCGACCGCTTATTATCCCTAGCGATGCCTGTGAGCATAATGTTCATTAACAGAATTATATCTAAAGAGTGGGCTTGCTTTAGACCCAAAAAGTCGACGGCTTGTCAAGCACAGGAGGCTGATCACCTGCTTGTCTAGATTGACAAATGATACAGAAATCTGAGGCCTAGACCTAAAAAGGTTGTAGCGCCACTGGTTTATAAGATGGAGTTACCTAAGATATATTTTAAATGCTTTAATTGAATAATATTATTTATTAATAATTAACTAATATTTCAGGTTCTTTAGGTAACACATGGAGACAAGGAGAATGGAAAGCGAACTACAAAATTAACCCCGATATTGTACCTTTACGAAGACATTCCAATTCAATTCCAGAAATGACAGAACAAAATATACAGATTACACAAAGCGATGACGAAGATTGTAAAGACAATAGTTTTAATAAAAAAATGGACGATTTTAGAGAGAAAATGAATGACTTAAAATATAATAGAGATAGAATTAATAATCAATTCATTAATTTTAATGAATTTAACGATCAAAATGATTATGAAAATAGAACTGATTTTAATGATACAGTATTTAGAATAAATGACAATAATGAAGATCGAAGCCAATTGAACGATGATTTAAAGAACATATTCAAAGATAACGTGGATAATGTGAGCGAATTCTACGAAGACATGAAAAAAATACTTCCGAACGAAAATATGTTTATAACCGAGAAATTTTATAACAACACATTGCTGGATCAAGTTGAAATCGTTGGGAATTACGAATCTCAGGCGAATTTTGTGCGTGACCTATTCAAAAGCAGTTGCGAGAGTAAAAGTGATAATTGTGAGTGTCATGGTGAGTGTGAGGTGGGTTGTGGGTGTGTGTGTGACATGTGCTATTCACCATGTTGGCCCAGAGACTGGGTCAAAGAGGACTTCCCTGGTGCAAGAGTTATTTCAATAAATTACACCAGTGATCCTTATTTATGGAGGCCGCTGTGGATCAAAGAAATCAAAAGGTATGTAATTAAAAATTAAGTTTAAATACTTTTGGTCATTGTGCGTGTGGCGTGCTGGTCCATGAGGTCGTAGGGTCGGATCCCAGCTGTGTCAAGCCAACGCACCAATAGACTGGTAGCATTTAACACTTGTTAACGGTGAAGGAAAACGTCAGGAATTTAGCCATTAGACCCAAAAAGGCGTCGGTGTGTGTCAGCCAAACGATTGATCATCTACAAGGGTATCTATAGATAATTTGAATCTGTTTTCCGGTCTCTTGAAAATTACTCGATAAATTGAATAAAATCAATGTAAATTCCCTCGGTTATTTAAAGTTGAAGGAATAGTAGCTCGCCAAAATGCGATAATTTGTAGTCCGAGCTTCCCTTCTCTCTATAATTTAGACGTAGACATAACAATTATAACTAACAAAAACACAATAATCAAAGAAAAAAATATAATAAAAAACATAATGAGAGATAAAAATAAAAATAAAAAAATCCCTTTTCCCATTCGGTTCGTTTTAAGTGTGTAATGCGTGTGCTGTGGTTGTAATTGGCCCTGATTCAGCATTTTGCTGAGGAGCAGAATGTTCCACAGCGCTGATCATTCTGCCAGAGACCACAGCAGCTAGTTTCCGCCTCAGTCGCAAAAAAAGAAAAAAAAAAGGAATGTAATAATACTTAGTAGAAAAAATAATAATAGTAAAAGTTAGCAGTGTAACTAATGAAGTCATGTGTAAAAGTATATAGTAAATAAAATAAAATTAAAAGTTAAAAATAAGAATAATTGTTTTGAGCGGATTAAAAATTTCGTGGATTTTTGTTGAGTCAGTAGATGAATCTTATAGCTGGGACTAAAATTTGACTTTAATTGAAGACTTCAGCGTAGGAGGGATATCATTCCAACACAACCAACAAATTTTTGAAGTGTTTATCATGCACAGACCTGGCAATTGCTTTTTTTAATTCGTCTATTTGGACAATAGACGGAATCGCTCACTCAAAAAAGATTACGAATTTTTTTTCAAATAAAATTTGTGAATTGTATTTAATTAATACATAATAAAAATATCAGGATTTTTGTTATTATGAACTCTTGGTAATTTGAAATTCATCTCAGATCCTAAGATTTTAAATTATCGACAGTCGACTGTATTTGCAATTAAAAATTTTTAATCAATTAATTTATTCATTGTAACTAATCATAAAAATGAATTGATAATTTTCTTAACCTTTGGTCCCTGCGGCACTTTTAACGCTGGCAGCATTTTTTTTATTAAATTACTTTTCACAAACTGTCACATGATATTGCAGGTTAAGGCTTCACGAGAGAGCAGAACAAATGACGTCACAGCTGTTAGACCTGGGAGTTGGACAGAAACCCATAATATGGGTTGGGCATTCGAAGGGAGGTCTGTTCATCAAGCAGATTTACTGTGATGGTATGTTATGGTAAATTTATATTAGCTTGCATGAATTTCGTAATTTGGAAAGATTTTTTTTTCAACATCTTTCATTTTATTTCTGCTAACTTTAGGAGGATGAGCAGTGTTGGCCTTGTGGCTTCAGCGTGAGACATCCATCCTTCAGGTCGTAGGTTCGATCCCCGGCTGTGCACCAATGGACTTTCTTTCTATGTGCGTATTTAACATTCGCTGGAACTGTGAAGAAAAACTTGCCTTAGACACAAAAAGTCGACGGCGTGTGTCAGGCACAGGAGGCTGATTACCGACTTGTCTATTAGATTGACAAATCATGAAACAGACTCAGAAATGTGAGGCCCAGACCTAAAAAGGTTGTACTTTAGAAGGTTTCTAAACATGCTTTAAATGTCAAATTTCAGCATACGACGCGCATTTACAAGTAACGAAAGAGTCAGTGGGGCAAAACGAAATTAATGATGGAACAAACGAATTTAATGATAGATTTAATGATATAAGCGATGATGCATTATGCAATACGAATGGGATCGAAGATAAAACTATACAAAATAGTGGTAAGTAGAAAGTTGTATTCCCGTACTTTGTTTTAGGAACTGGCATTAAATGTAAATTTAGAAGAATTTTCTATTGACAAGTCTTTCTAGCTATGCTTTGCGGTTAGTCTAGTCGACAAGTTGAAAATGGTACAAAATAGAGATACTGCTCTTAAAATGATGTGCGAAAAAATTATGGTGTGTTCTGAACACTATAATTAATTTATTCCCGTTGGAAATTTTACTTAAAGTTAATATTTTTTTTAAATTTAAAAAAAAAGGGTGCGTGTACTTATGTACGCGCGTAAGAAGTTATACTTCTTTGGCATTATTAATAATAGTTTGGCTTTGTTCCACCTCCAGTTTTTGATGTTTCACAGCGATAAGATGACAACTCTTTTTTTGTATTCAATTTAGTGCACTTACACTGATCATCAATTGTTTTTTGTCTCTTGTCCTTATATTTGCTAGATTAAATCAGAAAAATTACATGTTTTGATTAAACAATGTGGTCATTTTTTTAATCAAAACATTACTCGATAATAATAATACATACGGATAGTTAACCTCAATTGTATTGAAGCACTTAGGAAGGTTGATGAGCACAGTTTTTTTCACAAATATTAATTAGTATTGGTTTAAATATTCAATTTAAATCACTTCTAATTTTAATTCAAAAAGCATTGCTAAATTTCTTTGAAAAAATAATTAAAACTCCTTTATTTGTTTAAAAGGTAAATGACAAAAGTCATTATGGTCATTCAAAATTCTTGGCATACGAACTTCACGCATATTCTATTTCTTTTTACTTGTAGATTGTCTTATTCCTATCTCGCTCGCGCACGCTATAATCACACTCCTAATTTTGTGTCACAGGTGCGCGCGCATTGTAAAATTTCACTCTCATAAATTTTTCATAACGCGCCTAAAGAAGTATAACTTCAAAAAGTATTCAATACCTTAAATAAATTAATTAATGTGCCGTACTCGCTTTTGACGCCACGCGCGCATGCTAAAAATGTCACGCGCAGACCTATTTTCAGCGTTAAATTAAAATTATAAATAATGGAGATAGAGTTCCGGGAGTGAGGAGTTTTTTATTGGAAATTTCCTCCTCTTTCAGAATCTTTCTTAAATATTAATAGTTTATTAAATATTGGCATTTTTTTTCATATTTAATTGTTTATAACTTTTGCAATTTTTTATGTGCTAATACACGCTTTTGGTTTTGGCACATTTTTCTAGACGTCATTCCGGATCCAATGAGCTATCGCACATAATTTTAAGAGCAGTATCTCTATTTTGTACCATTTTCAACTTGTTGACTAGACTAGGTTCGGTAAATGGACTTTTAAATGAAAAAATAATGTTAGTCTAACACTTTTCAAGGAGTTTTTAGTAGATAGTATAAAACTGTAGTACATCACTTTGCTTTATTTTGAATATTTTTAAACTCTTTTCAAAATATGCCTTTAGGGATGGATAACGCAGGGTTCTAATGAAATAATTTTTCGAATTAGTCCTGTCCTGAAGTCTTTTCAATGGAAACAATAAAATATTTCCTCTTTATAATATTAGTATTTTGATAATTAAATTATTAAAAAATTACGTTTCGTCGAAACAATTATTCTTTTTGTTAAATATATTAATTATAATATCTTCAGGAATAGCCTCCCTGTGATAATTCGATGTTTATTAAAATTTTCAATTAAAAAAAAAATATTCTTAGAAATAAATTTATCCAATCCAGCAGTTATTATTTTTGTTTTAAAATTAAAACCTCGGTTCAGGTGGAGTCAGCACGATCAAAGCTGCGCTGTCAAGGCCCTTAAGGCCAACAGCGAGATTCCATTCCCAAAAAAAAAAGACTTAAAAGCTCGCTTACCAGCTATAACACGGGTCATCAACATACAATAATTTTCTACAGGAAATCCATCAAAACGGGCCGGTCTTTGGCGGAACAGCGCTGGTTTCATGTTCTACTCCGTGCCTCATAGGGGTTCACCACTCGCTGACATCAAGACTCCGATAACTGCAAGGAGTATAGAACTGTTGGAGATATGTAAAAGTAAGTCATATATATATATATATATATATATATATATATATACATATACTAGTAGTGGACTCAGCCAAGCGTTGCTGTGGCTAAAGTTTGTTATATTACATAGTAGTAAACTATTCAAGGGAAATGGTAGGAGAACACCAGTCATGGAGACCACCATGCTTTTTTGGTGGTTATGCCATTAAATTGTAGCTTATGTGAAACGTTGGTACTTTCAACACAGCGCCATCTGTTAGAATTGTGACTGTCAAATAATAAACAAATAATTTGCAATAAAATAATATTGAGGGTATAAATGAAGATGTAAGCTGCCCTATCTTTTAAGTTAGATCAAACTGCACACGGTGTGCAAATTTGATTGAAATCGGTTCAGTAGTTTAGGAGTCCATAGCGGACAAACAACGTGACACGTAATTTATATATATTAAGATATATGTATAGTAGCGGACGCAACAAATGTTTGTTTTGCAATGTATATTGTTTCTAGGAAACATTTTTATAGTTCAATAAATAGCTTCTTCAATAATAAAAAATAGGGGTAAAGAACTATGAATGTTAGGTGCGTTGTATTTACGTTAAAAATAAACAATAAATTTTGATTTAAAAATGTTATTTTTCAGATTGTCCACTTCTCCTCTCCCTGCAGGAGAGATGGCTGGCAGCCACTTCACCCTTCAGCCCAGCAGTCCACAGCGTTGTAGAGACTTGCCGAACTCTCATGTCAGTTCTTTGGTTGAGGATTGTTAGCATAGATTCCGCTGGTATGTACAAACTTGTACCATGCTTTACTTGGATTTTTTAAAACTTTGTATTATTGAAGTAGGTCCTAAATTACCAAAAACAAAACTTACTGAAGATATATCATGTGTTTAATATGTTATTATGCCTTGTATTACCCAACCTTGTGTACAGTCTTGGTCTAGTGGCTTCAGCGTGCGACTCTCATCCCAGCAGTCGTAGGTTCGATCCCCGGCTCTGCACCAATGTTTTTGTCTATGTGCGCATTTATTCGCTCTAACGTTGAAGGAAAACATCGTGAGGAAACCGACTTGCCTTAGACCCAAAAAGTCGACGGATTGATTTTTTTGATGTGAAACATCTAGAACCGCACGTAAAACCGATTTCTGGCGTGGCGACGCATGCCGTGGCGACGCGTCGCCCCTCTATATGATGGTATATATATATACAGTCTATATGCAGTAGTGTGTGTATTTCAAAGTCACTGATTAAACCAATTAAGTTGTCACGATTTGAAATAAATTCGTAAATTTTTGTATTTAATGAAAATAATGTTTATTCAATAAATAGTCATCGTCATCTGGAAAAAATATCGTAATATTTTATTTTATCATTATGACATATTTAGTTCCTATCACAATCTGTTCTTTTCTGCATATTACTTTTACAAAATAATGTCGATGTTTCACATCTGCCAGGCGTCCCGTGACGGCTCACATTTTTTTTATAATCTGTGTAGAATTAAAAGTTTATATTTATATGTGCTTTTATTTTTATTACTTTTTTTATTCATGTTTTTTTTATAGATCCTGGAAGGGGCTCATTACATGGGGTTTCGGTCGATCACCGAGAAATTTGCAAGCCAACGAGTCGACATTGCACGCTGTACACAGAGCTTATAAGTTTAATGCGTACTGCGCTTAACAAGTCTTGATCTTCTCCTTTTCATTATTATTCAGATCTCGTAGGTTCAAATTAAACAGCTCAATAAGATTTTTCATACATTAACAGAAGCATAACATCGTAACTCAATAATGCATCAACATGAGTGCGAACAGTTTGTTATGAAATATTTCCTATGAGTAGAGAAACTTGGCGCAAGTTTTGTATAATGACTGACGCAAGCCATGATTCCCTATATAAGATAGACATGATAAGCTATAGACCAAACAGTGGAGAGCATGGCAGCAGGAACCTGAGAAGATCATAATGAAGTTGGTAGAAATAATATAATTTTAAATATAGTTAACATACATAAACAAGAATTTATTATCGCCACCTATTCAATAAAGTACTTGCTGCAAGTATTATCACTAAATATACAGCCGTACTTTACTATTTATAAGTAATTTAATTATTACGGTATTTTAAATTGAAAAATTCAAGACATTTCAACACCAGTCAACGCTATCTCATATTTTTTACATGCAGTGATTCCAACTCCTAGAGAACATTCCTGGGATCAACTTCAATTACCCCTAAATATCGATAGGAATCCTAAACAAAAGTTGTACACTCGAATCTGAGAGTATTTTTGGTTATATTATTCGAATAAAGTGACCTTTAAAGAAATGTACCTCCTAAATAACCCCCTGGACATCTTGTTTCCCCCTGATTGGGGAGAAATCCCCCAAGTTGGCGACACTTGTAGATTTCCGCTAATAATTATTTTTAAAGCGATTTATGTATGTAGTATTAATCCGTGAATGTGATTATCTCGTGCCTTCATTTGTAATACTTAAAGCATCAAATGCTTCTAAATACGTAAATAGTTCTTTACTTATAAATATCTCTTAAATATATAATATTGATAACTGGAATATGTATAGTTATGTAATTTTAAACGTTGTTTAGACAGTCTGATTCCATGCTGATGAGCATACGTTGTAGATCAGTGTTTCCCAACTATTTTTGTGCCATGCCACCGTAGCTTTTCTAAAATTCCCGCTCATATTCATAGTTTTTAATATTTAAAAAAAATAGTTCACTTGAGAAACTTTAATTATAGGTTTTAAGAAAAACTAGGGGAATGTTAACGAAACACAGTTAAAGTTATTGAAATTCAAATTCCAAATCATTTTAACAAATTTTCCAATACCCCCCTTTACAATGAACATGCGCCAGAGAGGGGCAATGGGCCCCACGTTGGGAAACACTACTGAAGATAGTAAAAAAAACTCTTTGTGTATTGGAAAAGACTTTGTTCGATCACTGATAGTGGTTGTGAACGCGTTTAAAAGTTTACTATTTTAATAACCTATGTCAGGTATGTGTGCAATTTAATTACCATAATCTGTGTAAACCAACATTAGAGTCTGCGTAATGAAAGAAGATAACGAAAAAGCGCGGCAAATTAAAAAAAAATAGTATGGTATCCCTAAAAGTTTGAAATATTTTGTGGATTAAACTTACTTGATACTTGATTTTATTTTATAATTTTTTACATTGATAGTAACTGTATTTCTATGAAATTATATACTACGTATTTAGTCTTTTACTATTGATACTTAAAATTACTAGCATTGCATGGAAAACTAAACACAACTTTATTCGGAATAATCAAATCCTGCGAAAGAAACGAAATATCTATCAAATAAAACAAAGTTTATGCTATTATACCTGTTAACTATTCGGAAAAATTATATAATAGAAATAAAAATGAGTAATTGCATGAAGTATCAAGACAATAAATCATACTAACGTAAGAAATTCAATGACATTCTGTGTTGCCACCCGAAAGTTTTCAAAAAATTCAATTATCTCCTTTCATTAGCCAGACTCAAGTATCAAGACTAGCCTTCGCCTTTATCTGTGGACATTTAAGGAACAAATGACATCATTGTACCAAACCTTAATATATTTTTATATTAAGTAATTTAGTGTAATTTAAAGTTCGGTATTGTATTTTTTAAATATTTTATTTATAGTTGGGTTGTCTAGAAGCTTTTAGCAGTAAGACCGCCCATTTCCATCCTTCATTTATTTAGTTTCACTTCTGTTTTGTATCATTGTGATGTAAATTAAATGTTATTATTATTATTTTATTCAACCTATTATTGAATGAATACTTCGGCCATCTTATACTTAGATTTTTTATTGGGCAAGAGCTCTTTGGCCTAACAATTTTAAATTACGCTGTGATAACAGTTGAGTGATTTACTTAAAACGGAGGTGAAAGATTTATTTGCTATATTGAATTGAATAAAGTTGATTGATGTACTATGATCACCGTTATCATAAAACTTAAATATGCGATTGGCGTCCCACCTTTTTTAAAGAACAGGAGGCTCATCTGATGTTAAGTGAGCGCCCCATGGATTCTCTAAATGATAGGCGACGCTGTTGAGGCTTTTGGTTCGGAAATAATTCAGTGAGCAGCTGGTTCTACATACTGGGGGTGCGGCAAACTAACTACTTTAAAAATCGTTGTGGAACGGCGAACGTCGAGGTGATTCGGGATCGGCCTTGCAATTCTGAGTTACGGAATCGCAAGGCTGAACGGTCCTACCGTTCAGCCTTTCTTGCTAGTTGGGTACATATTAAAACAATCCCGATGTTGTTGTACGTAATTATTTATAGTACTTTATATCCGTATGGTAGTAGTTCCCATGGGATAACGTGATACAAGTCAGGAGCCAAGGCCGCATTTAGAGGTCTGAAAGCCTAAAAAAAAGGAGGGGAGGCCCCAAATTATTTTCGATATAAAATGGAAAAAAAATATCAGTCAAGTTTTACAATCAATAATTTATTGTGAAATCAAGTAGTTCATTTTGGTATTTAGCAAACATATACAAATTTAAATACAGATCAAAGATTTCTGTTAAAATTTAAGAACAATATAATCATCTTTGTACTAAAGTAAAACAGCGAAAAAAAAATATCGAAAAAAAATTGAATTTAAGACATTTTTTCCCGAAGCCTCTGTTGTGGGGCCCCCTCTTTTGTGATGGCTCCGGGACTGTAACCCCTCTTGTCCTCCCCTAATTCCGGCCCTGTAGGGAGCGCTAATTAAAAGATTATGTACAGAATTTAAAGCTGCAAATATAAATGAATTATATTTTTATAGTCTCCATTGTTGTAAATTTAACATAGTTTTATTTCAAACGAATTATATTATTTTATCGAATCGTCGTTTTATTTTAGTGATAAAAAGTTCCTTCATAGTTAATAACTCTTCGATATTTCAACGCCGACAGCAAATCAATCCCAAGGATTAGGATCATTTAAGTATTCCTCAAATTTATAAAAAGCTTTATTGATTAATTTACGTTTAACGAGGGCTTTGAATTTATTTAGTGATAATTCTCTAATTACGCTTGGGAGTGTAAAAACGCATACAATGTCTTCGATGTCGTTATAACAGATTTTGTCAGTGTTAACATTAATTAATGTTCACATGTAACCATTTCATATGTTAATCAATGTCGGAAAAATGGTTTGAGCTTCTGAGCTCTCTGGTGTATTATGTCATCGCAGTGATTGGAGCTGTACATTGTAATCAGTGGTTAGACAGACCCAGGATTCCTCGAGGCTTCGAGAACCAATTGTTTCCCGGTTTCACTTACGCTTAGGCCCCATTTGGGGCACTTAAAACAACAGATATTCATTAAAAGGTAATAAAAATGACTAAATTAATTTTATATCTCTTTATTAATATAAACATACTATATTCTTAAATTGTGACTCACGATAAAGGTTAAACCATTAATTAGCTATTCACTGCTTATAGTACGAAGTCTTTGGCATTCCAAAAAAAATATGCGGAAATCACAGGTATTATTTAGTACATTACTAGCTGTGCCGCGCGGTTTCGTCCGCGATCATATATTGTATTTTTTATAAATAAATATTAAACAAATAAATATTTGTGTGTTTTCATATTTCCAAAATTTTAAAAGTGTCAAGATTACTGTCAAACAATAATGACGTAATAATTCTACAACGTTTCATTTCACAGTTTTTGCAATTAAAAATATATTCTCACAACATAATCTTACAAAAATAATAATTAAAAATAAATTTCACTCATTAAAATAATCTTGAAGCGTTCTACAGCTAAGAACACCAAGACTAACTCTATGTAATATCTTAAAGTATTACGTACAGAGAGTCGTTAATTAAACGTTTAATTAAGATTACGGACCATTATTATTAGTACAGGTATGAATCTGAAATTATCTATACAAAGCCTGAACAATATATAAAAAAGGGCGTGCGTACAAAGTACACATGTACAAACTTCTTTGGCAAACGAATTTTTAAGGCTTGTATCATATTTATATAAATCTAAAACTAAGGTAATTCACCCTTCTCACTCTCTCTCAATCGCTCTCCCTCTGTTCTTCGACAAAAACGCTGCACATCTTCGTGTCGCTAATATTATCATTATTGTTTTACCCTCATGCGCCAAAAGAAGTTTCACTTCAAAACCTATATTACGGAAAAACTAATTTATTTAAATGGCAACAATCTTTAATATGTCATTGTTAACTGTCATTATCAGCTGTCAAAGTGAGGTGTCAATTTAATTGTGCGAGGATTTTTATAATTCGTAATTTTTATAAGACATTTGGCTAGAATCCCACCTGATGTTAAGTGAGATGCGGCCTATTGGAGTGCCGGCCTGTACAGGAGATGCCTATGTCAACCGCTGCTTAAATGAACCCCATACTGTGTATAAAAGATGAAAGGACTTCTACTTCTTTGCTGTTTTTACAAGAAACGTTCCAAATCGTGTAATGCGGGATCTGGGGGTGTCGACAACGAAATGGTTTCACCATTTCCAGCGTGCTTCTAGATGTATTGAAAGGGGAAGACGGAATCAGGTTGTGAAGTTCCATGGAGCATTCGTTGCAGTGCAATCTTGAGCAGACTGAAAGGCAGGCAACTGAACAGATATTGCGAGTTATAAGTGTTAAAACTTCAAAAATATTAAAAGTTATGTACAATGTAACGAATTGTAGGGAAGGGTGAAGGAAAGTACTCCTTAAATGAGTCAAATGTCATGCGAATGCCAGTGTTGCCATTATCATCGTTAATTTATTGAGCCATAGAGCAGTTTTAATTTATTGTTCTGGCTTTATTTAATTAAAACACTTAATCTATCATTATAGTCACTATTAACAACTCTGAGTAAGACATACTAGTATATGGACGAATACCTTATTATTTACTACTTAGATATAATACAACTAATGCCGGATTTGCACGTTTTTGTATTAGGAGGCTAAGTCTTATTTGTACAGAACTGGATATTAAAGAATATTTAATTAGACTACTGTCTTAAAGCGAAAAATTACGTCTCGTAATAATTACTATTCGATTATGAATATAGAAAACGTGCATCGTAATTGAGTTGTTATATCTTCTATTTGAATCCATAATATGAGATATTTGTATAGAGAGCGGTAGAGCTACCACGTAATTTCCAATGGCGATTTCAGTATTCAGGTATACAACAAGCATCCAACATCGTCTATTTTTTATTTGAATCTATCTATACTATGAGATATTTATATAGAGAGCAATTGTAAGCGGTAAGTCTACCACGTAACTTCCAATAGCGATTTCAATATTCAGCTATCATAGAGTACTATGCCAATTTTTGCATAGAATTGTAGTTGGAATCATGGAAATTCGACATGGCTCAATAATTTATAGGCATGTTGCTGTTACTATTGACTATGATATTTACACTTTCACATATGTGATTGCTTTTTAAGCTGTAATAATCTAAATATTTTTTATAGAAAAATGGTTTACGTATAAAATTCGTATCTAGCGCCATCTAGTAAAAATAATTAATTTAAAACTCACTACATATGTAGATTCAAAATAAAATCAAACCTTCAATTTGCCTACTTCTTTCTTTTAAACCTAATAACTAAATTCATAATTTTATTTATTTATTAACCAACAGATGGCGTTGCAGGTTTAAAACGCGTTAATAAAACATCCTAGAAATATACAGTAAACCCCCTTATAACACATTCATATTACGCAATTTCAGTCGCGTATAACACGGTTATTCCCCCATATAACGCCCGCGTTATGTTTCTGTACTGGGACATTTATATGATTTATAATGACGCGTTATATGTGGTCATATAAGCGCGTTATGCGAGAATATTCCTATAACGCGGAGCTACCGTGTTATAGGAGGGATTACTGGATAGTGTTAAGGTGCATTGTTCACTATTGGCGGAAAGTTTCTTGCCAGTTCTTCTTACCCGCTCTACGCCCTTGACTTGCGAACTGGTAGTAAATGATACATTTAGAATTAATTTAACTTCTGTTCATAAGTGTACTTGTTTACCTACGTGAATAAAGACATTTTGAGTTTGATTAACAATAAAGTACTTTTAACTTTTAGCATTACATTAGTGATAAAAAGATACACCATCAGAGATTGATTGGAGTAATTATAAATGGAAAATTAATCTAATAAATTCATTATGGTAACACGGTGCAAGTCGTGACAAGATAACTGGTAATAAAACTTTCTAATTAATATTGTCATAATTGGAATCGCTTTTAAGTTACGTGGTAGCCTTGCTTTCCTAGAAAGAAACAATTACTGGTATTAAAGAGATCTTTAAAGTAACGATTTTAATCAGGTAGCCAATGCTGCGTTCTCCATAGTAGACAGTAGAAGCCACTCAGCGCAGTTGTGTTGTTACCAGACTGAAATATTATAAGATTAACGTTTTTTATCATTTAAAAAAATTTAAAAAATTATTTCATCCCCAACATAATATTATCGTTGGTTAATACATTTATTTTTAAATTGTAGTCAAGTTAATCATAGGCCAGCAACGCACTCGCGGCTTTTTTGTATTGTGATTTTCTACTCCTACCCGTTTGCGTTTACTATAGAAAAATATAACGAAATTTAATTAGGTAAAGTTTCAAATAATAGGATGAATTTTTAATTCGTTGTAATCTTATCTATAAAATCACCTCGCAATTTTTTTTACCTGTGACGGGGCATATCTATTGAGAAGGGGTCGGTATCCATCCCCCAGTGTTGCGAGCATCGGGTAGTTTATGCCGCCATGCGGATAAAGTGGCAATATAGCTCGCACCTGAAATAAAAAAAAAATATAATAATTAATCCAAATGATATTTAAGAACATTTAAGAAAAAAAAAATCAGCAGAATCCTTGATATTTTTCTAAATATTTTGAAAATAACAATGGTAAATTTTTGAACCTTATCCAGTTTTTGAGTGTATTCGGTGAAGTTATACAAACTTCAAAAAAGACGAAATGTTATTTTCATTTTATACCTAGAAACTATGAAATTTTTTTTTTTAATTTACAATTCAATAAAAAACAAATTAATATTAATTTAATCGATTTGAACTGTTTTAAAAGAATAACTTCGACTTCGATTTAAATGTTTCTGATTCCGAAGAAACCATACATTGACTAAAAGACACCCATGAATCATACCTCTCCTTCATGAGGCCTGCAGACAGCAAGCGGCCTCAGAGTAGCTGCATCAGCGACAATGACGCAGCCCCAAAGTGTACCCACATACGCCTCAGTGCCGCAAACGCACAGAGATGTTATCTTGAAAAATATATTTAACAAATAGGATACACTATAATAATTTTGTACTAAAGATTATCATTTGTTTTTTTGTTTTATAAGTGCTGTGACTAAACCGTAGTAAATCCGTTGAAACTAAGTTGTCATTATAGTCTCTTCTATTTAAAGCACCAAAGAAACCGTTTTGATCCTTCGGGCCGGATATGTACCGTCACAAATGTCTCACGCAATTATTAAAGTATTTTACTTTAATTATAGTAAAGCCCGTTAATTTCCAATATTAACAGTTGTTAACAATATACAATTTAAATTTCACGAGTAAAGGACTGCTCCAGTTTTTTCCAGAACTGTCCATCTATAGCTTTCTTTTTACTTTAGCCTTCGTTGAACACTTCTATATCTTCTATGCATTTTTTCTAAGGCACCCTGTTATCCGTCTTTCACTTGTATATTTCACATAAATACATTACTTTAGCTACCATAAAAGTACTATTACTACAGACTATCAAATAGTCTGTTTAATTTGTAGATCTAGCAATCCTTCAAGAAAAGACCGTACCAATTCTTGAAAGGTCGGCAACGCACTCGCGAGCCCTCTGGCATTGAGTGTCCATGGGCGGCGGTATCACTTAACATCAGGTTGACCGTTTGCCCCCTGTTCTATATAAAAAAAAACTAGCAATATTGGTAAACAATCTGATAAGACTTTGACGTTGTTAATGACGAGCTGTGACATATAATCACAATGGCAGCCGATACCAACGCTTGCTCCAACATATATAAAACAGCATAAATATACATTTTTATAAATAATTGTTCAACTCACCCGACATCTGTCTTCGGTGAGGGGGTCGTCACTTGCGATAGATTGCAAACTTTCCGAACTGGGCGCGAGTTTGCTACAGTCCAAGCGAGCACTTTGTTCCCTCGACGTCGCCGAGTACGCGTATACGTACACATCTGGTTTAAATGACAGTCGAATTAAGAACGCGTTATGAAGTAGCAACCTTTACACAAAAACCTTACATATAAATAGTAAATGATTTATGCCACGAAAGCGTGTAATATAAGGTAATAACTCTTCTTCTTTTAGTGTCTTTTAATTACTGGAGGCCGTGAGGCTCTTAAAGCACGTCCTGATACTCTTCCGCAGTCGCAACACCCGTCCATTTAAAGTTCAAAAATCATTTATTAATTTAGGTAACGCAATGTACACTTATGGACGTCAGTAAAGAAATATATAATGCTTCTAATTTTATATTTACTGCCAGTTCTCAAATCAAGGGCGTAGAACGAAAGACGAGAACTGGCAATAAACTCTCCGCCACTCTTTTGAATCACCAGGTTTTTGTTTTACACAATGTTTGTAAGCAGCTGCAACCATTACACCATGTTCCACGTGACATCGTAAGTAATTAATAGTTTATTAATAATAATAAAAAACAAAGATTTGTCCTCTATCAGCAGGAGACATGGTAAAATAGGAGCACGCACTTACATTCTCGTGGGAACAAAACGCAAACTCCACTCCCTGACGTTGTGAAACCATGATTTTTTCCTTCTACCAACTTCTACCAACGCGGTAATAACTCAAAATCACATAAATCAAGTCAAATTTGCATTGTTGATCTATTAGAATAGCAACACCACGCAATCATAGACATCTAACATTTTTTTTAAAGTTGATTTGGGTAGGAATTCTTATCTTGTCAAAATTTTGCATGCGCTACTTTTTTATGTGTAATAAGTATTTATTTATAAGTTTAATAATTAAATATAAATAATAAAATAATAATTATCTACTTTAATTACCATTTTTGCAGTTTGCAAGTACAGTTGACACATGGGGTGAGGCGGCAAGACGCGCTACTCGTGTAGGGCGGGCGGGAGCTGTGATAAACTCAGCCGCACTGACGCCCTCAGAGTTCACTGTATAGGTGTAGATTCCGTCACCACCTGCCCAAACCTCAACCCTGGAAACCAAATAATATGGAATTTAAAGCAAATTCTTTTCAAAACGCCTTTCCATGGGTTTTAATGGGCAAATAGAAATCTCATGGATAGCCCCCCCAATAGGCCGCATCTCATTTAACATCCGATTGGATTAGAAATCTGGTTAGCAAAACTGTCCTCCCGGGCCCCCCCCTAATGAGGTGGTTAAGACCTGAGACACAAAATTGTTAGTGTGATTATAGCGTGCGCGAGTGAGATGGGAATAAGACAATCTACAAGTAAAAAGAAATAGAATATGCGTGACGTTAGCAGCTATGCCAATAAATTTGAATGACCATAATGACATTTACCTTTTAAACAAATAAAGGAGTTTTAATTATTTTTTCAAAGAAATTTAGCAATGCTTTTTCACAAAGACCTATTGTTACTTAGTTAAAAGGTTATGAAACATACCTAGTTATTAAATTGAATGAATAATATAATAAATAATAATTATTACTAATATTAATTAATAATCGAATAATATACTAAATATTAAAAATTATTAAATTATTAACGATAAATATTAATTAATTATATTAAAAAAAAAAAAAAGCCAAAGAAGTATAACTTCTTACGCGCGTACATAAGTCACACGCACCCTTTTTTTTATATTTCTAGTATAACAGCCAAGATTTAAACAAAAAGTAAACACTTACCAAAAATCTTTTTGCTATAAATTAATCTTCTAATTAAGTTTTAATTTAACGTTCAAAAATCGCGTTTCATTGCATGCTTTTTAAATAAATCTATATTAATACGTCCAAATATTTGAACAGTAGTACTGTTTTTGAGTTGGCAACACTGAACGCAAAAGATCACGAGGTCGTTCACGAACCAGATGGATCGATCAAGTGAAATACTCATCGTCCTTCAAACTCTGCACTATACGAGAGAAACTGGAAACAGAGTCCAGAAGTTTTATTACTGACCACGACCATGAGCTACCGACTGAAAAGAAAGACTGTTAAAAAGAAAATATTGAATACCCATTATCAGCATAAACAGCAGTCAGACAGTTGAGTTCAGTGGCCGTGCCCAACTCTGTGAGGACGAACGTGCTCTCGGCTTGGGGTCGCTCGCACGATACCAGAAATAGTCTGAAAAGAATTTGTTTATTTATATTATCACGCTTTTTTCCCGAAGGAAGCATAACGGATATCCTGACATACCTATTCAGGGAGCGTTCAAGTATTACTTCACACAATTTTTGGACCCCCCATGTAACGCACCGTAACGTTTTTCTGTACCCAATAGTAAAACGTTTCGTGACCACCCAGAGACTCTTTATACCTAAAAGTTACCATTATGTTGTGTAAAGTACCGGAAAGTCGAAAATAATATTAACAATAATGCGTAATTCAATCCCCGCCCCGTATCGTTTTCCAAAAGGACCCCCCCAAAAAATTCCCCTCAAAAAATTCTTTACGTAATACTTAAACGCTCCCTTATCCACTTTCATGACATTCACCATCCATGCTCGTTTATCATAATCATAATCTAATAGGCAAGTAGGTGATCAGCCTCCTATGACTGACACACGCCTTGGACTGTTTGGGTCTAAGGTTTCCTCACGATGTTTTCCTTCACCGTTCGAGCAAATGTTAAATGTGCACATAGAAAGGAAGTACATTGGTGCACACATTTTTCTGAAAGAGATAGTAGATCTTAGTTACCTTCCACAAGACAGCGCAAGCGCAACGCGTCGTAGTGATTCCAGTGAGTATAACGCCGACACACTAGACCCACCGCCACCCACAGTTTCGCACACTTTGACACTCCATTGTAAGACACAGTCGGATATTCTGTTGAACAGATAAGATAATAATTAGATAAAAAAAAAACCGTAAAAACATATCAACGAAAGTATACGATATCTCGTAAACTACTGAACCGCTTGATGAAACTTGACTATTAACTGGATACTTATAACGACTTTGTTTCCGAGAATTTACCTAAATAGGAAATATATAACTGTGATAATCTACTTAGATCATCATGATCGACATATCTACATGCAGGTCAAACTAATAAACTTTTTTTTGAAGTTGGTTAAACCATATTAAAACATGTTCAATTATCACAATTATTGATTAATTATCAACTATGTTATCACATTCAATGCTAGAAATCGATGCAACTGTAGTTATATAACCTAACATTAGTTAACATATATATATTTAAGTTAATAATCAGAAGCG